GGTGTCACTATCAATTTCACGATCGATCCCACTATCGATCTCTCTATCGATCCAACATTCGGTCTCACATTCGGTCTCACAATCGATCTCATCATCGATCTCACCATCGATCTCACTATCGATTCCACTATCAGACTATGGATCTCACAGTATATCTCACTATCGATCTCACAATCGATCTCACATTCGGTCTCACTATCGATCTCAATCGATATCACAATCGATCTCACAATCGATCTCACATTCGGTCTCACTATCGATCGCACTATCGATCTCACTATCGATCTCACGATCGGTCTCACAGACGATCTCATTATCGATCTCACGACAGGACACCGACGGGATACCGACGGGACACCGACGGGACAACGGCGAGCCACCGACGGGACAATGCGGGCCCCCGCTTGACGAGGCCGGGGGGGGAAACATTTGTGTTGGCGGACCCCTAGCGACAGCAGAGTGAATTCCTCTCGCCCGCCCACGCAGCTTCGCCTCGCCCCCACGAACGCCACGAACACGAAACCGAAACCGATTTCCCGGTGGGGGGCTCTCCGTTCCACTCGGTCTCACCCGCTCACCTCCGATCGATATCACTCGATCGATCTCACTATCGATGTCACATTCGGTCTCACAACCGATCTCATTATCGATCTGATTCAGTCGATCCCACATTCGGTGTCACTATCAATTTCACGATCGATCCCACTATCGATCTCACTATCGATCCCACATTCGGTCTCGCATTCGGTCTCACAACCGATCTCACCATCGATCTCACCATCGATCCCACATTGGGTCTCATAATCGATCTCACTATCGACCGCACTATCGATCTCACTATCGATCTCACTATCGATCTCACAATCGATCTTACCATCGACCCCACAATCGATCTCACTATCGATCTCACTATCGATCTCACTATCGATCTCACATTCGGTCTCACTATGGAACTGACGATCGATATCACAATCAATCTCACTTTCGATCTCACAGTCGGTCTCACTATCGATCTTTCAATCGATCTCATAATCGGTCTCACTTTCGATCTCACAATCGATCTAACTATCGATCTCACAATTGATCTCACTATCGATCCCACTATCGATCTCACATTCGATCTCACAATCGATCTCACTTTCGGTGTTACTATCAATTTCACGATCGATCTCACTATCGATCTCACTATCGATCCAACATTCGGTCTTACATTCAATTGCACGATCGATCTCACTATCGATATGCTTTTCCTCCCTCTCCTCCTCCTCCCCCTACTCCTCCTCCTCCTCCTCTCCTCCTCCTCCTCCTCTTCTCCTCCTCCTCTCCTCCTTCCTCCTACTCCTCCTCCTTCCTCCTCATCCTCCTCCTCCTCCTCTCCTCCTCCTCCTCATCTCCTCTCCTCCTCCTCCTCCTCCTCCCCTCCTCCTCCCCCCCCCTCCTCCTCCTCTTCTCCTCCCTCCTCCTCCTCTCCTCCATCCCTCCTCCTCCTCTCCCTCCTCCTCCCTCCTCCATCCGCCTCTCCCCTCCTCCCCCTCCCCCTCTCCCCACAATTACTCCATATGAATACTACTTTCCCTCTTCCCTGAGACGGTTTGAAAGTGCTCGACTCCCCCCCCCCCCGCGTACTGTTTTTTTATACACAGGTTTCCCCAGAGTTGGGTTTTCGCTTGCATTTTTTCAAAATGCTGCTCTCGCTGAGGCAACGGCCTCATTTTCGGGCCCCGCTCGTTCCGAATCGTGCTCCCGCTGCAGCGCTGGCCTCATGTCCGTGCTTCCGCTCGTTCCGAATCGTGCTCCCGCTGCAGCGCTGGCCTCATTTCCGCGCTTCCGCTCGTTTCGACTCGTGCTCCCGCTGCAGCGCTGGCGTCATTTCCCGTGCCATGCCACGGCATGCAATGCAATGCTAGGTTGATGCTACGCTTTGCGGTGCTCTTCTACGCCGTGCCATGCCGTGCTCTACAATGCATCGCGTACCCTTTCGGGATCATTGCCCTGCTCGGCATCCGACTGTGCGAGTAGAGAGGGGATCTACGCCATGGTAAGGGATGGGAGGGAGAGGTAGGATGTCAGATATGACGCGAGCGCACCTAGCTTGTCCTCCCCCCCTCGCCCTCCTCCTCCTCCTCCTCCTCCTCCTCCTCCTCCTCCTCCTCCTCCTCCTCCCCCTCCTCCCCTCCCTCTTCCTCCTCCTCCCCCCCTCTTCCTCCTCCTCCCCATACTCAGTTTCGAGACGGACGACGATATAGGGGGGGGGGAGGTGCGGAATCTCCTGCATGCAGCTGGTTTTGGCCCCGTGGCAGTTTTCTCGATCCGTGGGCACCTCCAGCGCTGATGTGTTCCAGAAAAACTAGCCGGAAGCACTCGATCCGCCATCCCCCCATTTGAAATCCCCCGTTCGCCCGCCTTGGCCGGTTGCCCTTGGGAGGTCCAGCGAAGCGGCGTCGTACGCAGATCCAACGAGACCGCCCTCCCTGCGTGCTGCCAGGTTTTTCCAGTTGGTTCACGTGTTGAGGTTGACCATCGTGCGAATCCAGGCCTGCCTGGTGCGGTCTGTCATTGGTCTGCAGTGGTCTGTGGCTCCCTTGCGCTGGGACAGACGTCGCTGCGCGGCCCAACGGGGGGCAGTCCAGAGGCGTGGTCTGCTTCGGAGTGGTCCCAGCTGGCTTCCTACAGTACATAGAGCTTCCAGACGAGAGGCGCCTGCCCTTCTTCTGCGAAGCCCCTCCGCTCCGTGCGGGGCCCTCCGTGCGGGCAGCCACCTCCCCTCGAGGCGCAGGCCCGCGCCTCCCGCGGCAGACAGCCCGCACTCGGGCCACCTCGACCGGGCCGGGCGCGCTCCGGCTCGCCCGGCCGGCCCCCGGGCTGCCATGGGGCAGTCGACGTGCCGGCCGTTGCAGCCCGGGAACCTGAGCGCGGCGCCGTCGCCGCCGTCTCCGAGCGGCCTCTCCGCTGAGGCCACCGCGGCGTCCAAGCTGTGCTGCGCGGCCTGCGAGGGGGACCACGCCCTCATCGAGAAGCTCCTGGCCAAGAGGGCCTCGGTGAACCTCTCGGACTACGACCGCCGCACAGCGCTGCACATCGCGGCCTCCGAGGGCCACCTCTCCACGGTCCAGCTGCTCATCTCGGCCGGCGCCGACGTCGCCGCGACCGATCGGTGGGGCCACACGCCGATGGACGGGGCCGTGGAGGACCGCTTCCCGGACGTCGTGGCGGCTCTGCGGGCCGCGGGAGGGGACCAGGGGCGGACGCCGCGCGAGGGCGGGGGCGCGGCGCCGGTCCTGGAGCTGCGCTGCACGGAGCCGCTGGAGCTGCGCTGCGCCTCGAACGGCAGCACCGCGTCGCCGCCGGGCACGCCCAGCCCCCGGGCGAGGGGTGCCGGGGCGGTGCGCCAGGCAGACGCGGCCGGCATGGAGCTGTGCTGCGCCGCGGCCGCGGGCAACGCCGGGCTGATCCGCCGCCTGATCGCGGAGGGCGCCAGCGTCAACGCCAAGGACTACGACGGGCGCATCGCTCTGCACATCGCGGCCGCGTACGGGCACCAGGGCATCGTGCAGGACCTGCTGGACCTCAAGGCCGACGCGAGGCACAGGGATCACTTCGGGAACACCCCGCTCTCGTCCGCCGTGGGCCAGCAGCAGGAGGGGGCCGCGACTGTTCTGCTGAAGGCCGTGCAGGAATGCGGCGGTGGACTTGGAGACAGGGAACGCCCCGCGGAGAGCATGTACCCCGGCGTGCTGCCGGGACAGGTCGAGGGGATGTTCGCGCGGCAGACCAGCTGCAGCACGATGAACTGGATGATTCAGGAGAATGAGGTCAAGTTCGGCCCCGTGATCAGCAAGACGCTGAAGAGCGCCATTCACACGGCGGAGTGGAGGGGCAGCAAGGTGGTGGCGAAGACCTTGCTGCAGCATAGTTGGCACGAGAGCGCGGGGCATGCAGACGACGAGGACCTCGTCAAGGAGGTGCTGCGCGAGATCGGCATCCTTTCGACGATGCGGCACCCCGACCTTGTGATGTTCCTCGGGGCCTGCATCTACAGCGTGCGGCCCTTCCTGATCTCCGAATACATGGAGGGTGGGGACCTCGATCGCTACTACAGCGCGAAGGCCTCACAGCGGGGCTGCCCCTACAGGCCTGACATGAGGCTCTTCCTCACGTGGTCGAGCGCGGTGGCGAGGGCCTTGTGCTTTCTCCACAACTGCTCCTCCCCGATCATCCACCGGGACCTCAAGCCCCTCAACCTGCTCCTTACCAAGAACAACGACCTGAAGGTGACCGACTTCGGCATCAGCAAGCTCATGAGGCCGAGCCTCGGGGGCGAGTCGGAGGACCGGGCCCCGCGGATGTCTGGCGGCGTGGGCACGTGGCGCTACATGGCGCCGGAGGTGGTGCGCGCAGAGCAGTACACCGACAGGGTCGACATCTACTCCTTCGCGCTCATCATGTGGTTCATGAGCACCGGCCTGCAGCCCTTCGTGGAGCAGTTCGGGCCGGACGCGGAGCTGGTCCTCCAGGACTACCTGCGGGGCAACGAGCCGCGCCCCGGCTTCGGCGGCGGCGGCGGCCTGCTGAACGGGAGCCGGGCCGCGCCCGCGGCGGTGCGGCAGCTGGTGCAGGAGTGCTGGCACCGGCGCGCGGCGGCGCGCCCCTCGGCGCACCAGTGCACCGAGCGCCTCGCGGAGGCCTCCGTGCAGTTCGGGCAGGCCTCGTGGGCGGCACGCGCCGGGAAGGTCGTGGGCATGCGGAAGTAGAGGCATGCGGGGCCCGGCCGCCGGGTGCTGCCGCCGCGCCCCGTGGCCCCCGCGGTGGCGTGGGGCCCAATGGCCCGCGCGCCCTTTCGGGTCGAGCCTGGGGGCGGGCGCCGCTCGGGCCTGCTCGACGGGCAAACGGGCCCGACCGGCGAGCCCGACGTGGATCGGCCTGCGTCGTACCGCGCTATGGTTGAAGTCGGGTGCGTCCCTCTACAGGAGGAATAACTATCCAAAGATAGTCAAAACATAGTCTGGGGACGATTTGTCGAGTACTTTTTCTTTGTTTTCTGAATCCGCCTGCAGGAGGACATGCCCGACCTAGCGTTATGGACTGGTTCGATTCCGGTTCCTCTGCTTTGGGCCGCTCCCTCCACCGGAGGAGGAGGGAGCAGGCGAATTCTCCGAACGTTGCGCTCGGCCTTCCCCCAGAGAACCTGGGGGCGTGATCCAGACACCCCCTCGCCGCCTCGCCACGCACTCCGGGAGACGGCCCGCGGTGGCCCAGCCAAACACCGCCTAGGCGGGGGTGCAGGTGATCGTTTGCTTGTTCCTTGTTTTGCCGATCGGCGCGGGCCCTCGCACCCCTCCCCCCCCCTGCTATGGAGTAGATCTTGGCTGCTTCTTTGGCGCCTGTCTCGAGCGGGTGGAGTCTCCCCCATGGGGCGCACTGCTGCAAGCAGACGCCGTAAGCAGAGGCCCGGAGGCAGGCCCTCCCTCCCCCCCCCCTTTCCGCCAATTGTCGAAACGCCGAATAAAAAAAACACGCTCACCAGCGCAACTCGGGCCGGGCGAAAGGGGTGGATTGGGAAGGGGGGGGGGGTACGACATTTGCTGCGTGCAGCTGGTTTCGGCCTCGCCGGGGGGCCCATCCCTCGATGCATGGCCGCTTCTGGCGCCGGGATGCGCCGGGAAAATCAGCTATACGTGAGCTGATTCTCAACCCCCCCCTTTGCTATCCCCCCCATTCGCCCGACCCGAGCAACCCCTGTCTGGACGAGCGGAGCGGCTCTTGCAGGTGCCAATTTCATTGGTTTTCAATGCCCCCGCTCGCTGCGCCTTCTGCCGCAGGCCCTCCGGGGTAGCAAAGGCCGTCCCGCAGCAGGGTATGGGGCAGCTCTGGCGGCATCGCGGGGGTACCTCGAGACCTCTGGGGATTCTGGGGGTCATCGTCAGGCCCTCTTGGGCAATGTTGGGACTTCTTCAGGCCTGTGGGGTCCATCTTGAGAGCATCTTGGGGCCTCGCTGGGCCATCCTCGGCGATGCGGGCGGCTTCTTACGGCCGTTGGCGGTGACCTCGGGGCGGTCTTGGGTAATCTCGGGGGCTCACAGGGGGTCTCTTTCGGAGGTTGATAGACGTCCTACCCTGACACGTCGATCAGCGAATCGGCCGTTTTCGGTTCGCGAGAGGGCGTCGCGGCCATCATTTTTGCGGGTCCGGGTCCGTCGGTTTCGGTCCCAGGCCGTTTTCGCTAAAGGGTGGTTCGGTAAAGGGAGGCTTGTCCACCGCCGAGTCTTGCAGCGCTCTCTGGACATCTCGGGGCCAAGTCGTGGCACGAGCACGCCGCAGCAGGCATGCCGTGCTGCTTCCATGGTCTGTGCCCTCGCGGGGGCGTCTCGGGGCCTTCGCGTGGCCCACGCTCGTGGCGTGTAAGGTATGTGGAGGGCGACCAATGGAGCGGAAATGTGTTGCCAAATACAGTCAACGCGCCTAGTAAGGACGCGCGCCTTCATCTAGGGTACCCTTGTGTCCTTGCCTCTGAGGCTCGTCCTTGCCATTATCACTGGTCGCCCGCCGCCCTCAAAAACCCAACTTCGGCCTCCAAGGGTCTTGCGTCCTTATCACCCGTCATTCATATACATTTTGACTGTAATTCCTAGATGTTTAAGCCGTGGTTTAATCATGTGTAAGACGTGCAACATAACATGGCTTAAGCATGTCTAGATCATTGTTTCAAACAGTCTAAGCACATGTTAATTCAATGATCGGATGGTTAGGGTGTTCATGGTCATGGCATCCACAAGTGTGAGGAGCATCTTCGGATGTCTTGGGCTCTCGAGGCCCTCGCCTTATCTGGCCGTGCGGCGGCGTGGTTCTGGCAGCCCTGGGGCAACCTCGAGCGGTCAGGAGTTTGAGCGGTATCCCCCCAGGCTGTTTTGTAGATGTCCTTGAGTCGGTCGTGCCCCTCTACAGGAGGAATATTCCAAGATAGACAAACCAATCATACGGGTACGATGTTTCTAATGTTTTGTTGACAATGCTGGTGTACTTTTTGAGTATTTTATCTTAGGCTTACGCCACACCGCCGACCCCTTGTTTATGCCAATCTGGGGGTAGTAGAAGCTGCGAAGGGGTGAAAAGGCGAGTGATATTTGTTTGGTGTCTGTTCGCCGCCACCGCCAGAGGGTCTCGGGCAGTTCCGCGGGGGGGTCCGAGCGGACGGCGACACCGCGAGTTTTGGAGCCACTTGGGGGCCGTTTCGGAGCCTCTGGGGTGCTTCTTGGGGGTTCCTTGGGGCGTCTGGGCGGCCTCGTGAGGGCCTCTGGGGGCCTCTTGGGGCACTCTTGGGGCCCCCTGGGGCTCCTGGGGGCAGAAAGCTAGAGTTTCAACATGTTTGGTCGCCCTCTTGGGCCCCTCTTGGTGCCGTCTTGGAGCCCTCTTGGGCCGTCTTGGGGACCTCTTGGGCCGTGTTGGGGCCGTCTTGGGCCGTCTGGAGGCCGTCTTGGGGGCCTCTTGGGCCATCTTGGGGCTGTCTTTGGGGCCTCTTTGGCCGTCTTGGAGCGTCGGGAAGCCGAAAAGGCCGAAAAGCCGAAGGCTAAAACTACAACTACGACTACTACTACTACTACGACGACGACGACGCCTGGAAAAGTCGGAGGCCCAGGTTTTCCGTTGTGGGGCATGCCCGAAGGGGGCGGATGGGAAGGCGCCCGCGTTTACAGACGTGAGCCATTTATCGGACAGTCAGAAAGAACATTACAGGAGAACGGGCCAAACGCATCGCCCGGTCATGTGCCGCGCGTGCCACGAAAAATCGGAGGCCCAGATTTTCCGTTGTGGAGCATGCCCGACGGGGGCGGATGGGAAGGCGCCCGCGTTCACAGACTTGAGCCATTTGTCCGATAACCAGAAAGTACATTATAGGAAGACGGGCCAGGCGCATCGCCCAGTCGTGTGCCGCGCGTGTCACGATGCGCGCACGGGGGCGAAAAAGTTTGAATGCTCCGCGTGCCCACCGAACGGGGACGGGAAGAAACCAGCGTTTTCAGACGGGGGCCATTTGTCGAAAGACCAGAAGAAGAATTATTTCAAGCGAAACAACCCAGTTGTGTGCGCGAAGTGTTTTAAAGCGGGACGAGCGCCGCGGAGAGACCCTCCGAAACGCCCGGCGGAACCAAGTGACGAGCATTGCGACAAGGCACGGAAGTTGCGAGGAATCTGACCGCTGGGGACGGGATGGATAAGGCCCGCGTTTACAGACGTGAGCCATTTATCGGACAGTCAGAAAGAACATTACAGGAGAACGGGCCAAACGCATCGCCCGGTCATGTGCCGCGCGTGCCACGAAAAATCGGAGGCCCAGATTTTCCGTTGTGGAGCATGCCCGACGGGGGCGGATGGGAAGGCGCCCGCGTTCACAGACTTGAGCCATTTGTCCGATAACCAGAAAGTACATTATAGGAAGACGGGCCAGGCGCATCGCCCAGTCGTGTGCCGCGCGTGTCACGATGCGCGCACGGGGGCGAAAAAGTTTGAATGCTCCGCGTGCCCACCGAACGGGGACGGGAAGAAACCAGCGTTTTCAGACGGGGGCCATTTGTCGAAAGACCAGAAGAAGAATTATTTCAAGCGAAACAACCCAGTTGTGTGCGCGAAGTGTTTTAAAGCGGGACGAGCGCCGCGGAGAGACCCTCCGAAACGCCCGGCGGAACCAAGTGACGAGCATTGCGACAAGGCACGGAAGTTGCGAGGAATCTGACCGCTGGGGACGGGATGGATAAGGGGGACGTGGAGGAGGGAGGATGGGGGAGCAGCCAAAGGCGGAGAAGGTGAAAAGTGAGCCAGTGGAGGGAATACGAGACAGAAAGCTGAGAGGGGAGACGGGAGGAGGGGGCGGAAGAGGAGGATGAGAAGGAGCAGGAGAACACGACGAGGACGACAATGGCGGCGACAGACTCGACGGCGTAGGCTGGGCACCTTTTTGGGGCCATCTTGGGGGCTTCGTTGACCGTTGTGGGAGCCTCTGGCGCCGTCGTCGTGAGAATCCTCTCGGGGGCCTGCGGGAGGCAGTTTGGAGGCTTCTGGGGAGCTGTTTTGGGGCAGCTTGGGGCTTTTTTTGGGCTTGTTGGGGGCCTCTTGGGGGCTTCTTGGAGCCTCTTGGAGGCCTCTTGGGGCCTCCTTGGCGCCTTTTGGGGCGGAAGGCTAGAATTTTAGGTTCGTGGTCCCCGTCTGGAGCCTTTCTTGGGCCCCTCTGTGGGCCCTCTTGGACTGTCTGAAGGCCCTCTTGAGCCGTTTTGAGGCGCTCTTGGGCCGTGTTGGGGCCCACTTGGGAGCCTCTCGGGTCGTCTTGATGCCGTCTTGGGGGCTTCTTTCGCCGTCTTGGAGCGTCGGAAGCCCGAAAAAACGCGAAGGCCAAAAACGTTGAAAAAACCAATGGAAATCGACGATTTTGGCCTCTTGGGGCCATCTTGGGAGGCGTCTTGGAAGCTTCTTGGGGCGTCTTGGAGGCATCTGGGGCCATCTGGAGGCCATCTTGACCGTCTTCGAGTGTTTTTTCGGCGACTCGGGGCCCTCTTGGACCGTCTGCAGAGCTTCTTGGGAGCCTCTTCGCTCGTTTGCGGCCCCCCCAGCAGACTCTCTGGAGCGGATGACCCCCCCCGGACCGCGCCGGCGGATCCCGGGGAATCCGGCCGGACCCCCCCCCCCCCCCTCCAAAACGACCGGACCAGGCTCCGGGGGGAGGGGTTTGGGGAGGGGGGAAGCATCTCACACGCCGATGACCCCAAGGGGTCGGCGGATTTATCTTCCAAAATCCGCCTGCAGGAGGACATGCCCGACCTCACAGCAGTCCTGGGGCAACCTCGAGCAGCCATGAGTCTGAGCTGTATCCCCCAAGCTGTTTTTGTAGATGTCCTGGTTCCCCTGGTAGGCAGGAGCATGCAGACAGGACCCGGGAGACAATACACATCTAGGCAGCTCCCATCACGCTGGGCGGCAGAGTACCTCACTGCCTTGCGCCCTCGAAGCGGCCGGCGGAGTCAGTTTCACTCACCTTGTCTTTTTCTGGAGTATTTCTGTCTCCAGGATCCCTTATAAGTCGGTGATGCCGTCTTGGCTCGCCAAGAAAGTCTTCATCTGTGCGCAAATGCTGACGCATGCCTGGAACAACCTGTTGCAGTGGAGCTGCTTGCAGGGCACACGGTGGAACTGTGTGTTTGTGTGTGTGCGTGTGTCTATGTGTGTGTTTCTGTTCCGCAGATTGATCTGCAGTTTTCGGGCGCATTGCGCTTTGCGGTCGCAATTGCAATGTAGATTGGATTCTTTCGGCTGGATTTCAGGGTTTATGGTCGAACGTGCTTGCAACTTTCTCTCGTCCTCTTCTCCCTGGGGCATCGGAGCGGAATGTGCACAGAGCGGCGTACGTCACCTTACCCAGAGAGCGAAGCCGAATTAATCGATCCTGCAGTTGTGGGCGCGCTCAAAGGAGGCCCCAAATTTCTAGCACCAATTCAAGGGAGCGCGTCGAAGGAGGTCACTTGCCGCGTGACTCATGCAGTGCGGTTTGTGATTGGCCGCGTCGGGTATAAGTACATCCCACCAGGTCCAAGCGCGGCGCTTGCCTGGCCATCACCCCCTTTTCCTCCTCACCCCCGCCATGGTACCGGAATCCAACGCACTCCCTCCTTCCGCCTCTCTCGGCTCCAGGCACGCGCTCCCGCACCCGTTCCCTCGAGATCGCCCCTGTGCACGCCGCCTCCCTGCATGCCCGAGCGGTTGGCGCCTCCATCTCCTCCTCCCCCATGGGCACCCTGCCCGCCCTCTGTGTGCACTGCACAGCGCGCCGGCTCTCTCATCGAGGGGCGGCGCTGGCGAGCGAGCCGCGCTCGCAGTGCGAGGCTGGCGCTGGCCCTGCCTTGGCACCGGGGCCGTCGCCGTGCGCGCCGGCCTGCTCGCAGGCGCCGTGGGCATGGCGTTCGCTGTGAGGCGGCGGCCCCGCTTGGGAGATATAACTGTTCGCTCGGCAGCCTTGACCAAGCAGTGGAGGAGCGTCCCGGCGTGCCTACAGGCCTACCAAACAGTGTTCTGAGAACCTCTTGTGCCTTCCACAGAATATAATATCAGAGCATTTCTGGTCGAGACTGTCTTGTCTGTAACACATCGGGGCAATGTTCTAGGAACATTGCTTCTATTCTTGGAACATTTCTAGGTCCTAAGAACATTTCGTGGTAGGACCATAGGACGCCGGACCGGTCGGTCCCTGCTCAGCTTGACGGCACATGTGCGTGGTGCATTTGCACACTGGCCCGTAGGAGTGCAATGCTGCAGGGGCGCCCGGAACGCAGGCGCCGCCCGGATAGACAAACAAATGTGTGAGTTGGGGGCCGCTGGTGTTGCCACCCTCCTCCTCCTCCTCCGCCTCCTCCTCCTCCTCCTCCTCCTCCTCCCCAGTTGCAGGACGGCGGGGTGCGCCTCTGGGTGGCCGTGCACGTCCGACCTTCACAGGCGAATGTGTAAAGTCCAGCAGAACTCTTACCATGTCCTTTGGAAGAGAATCCCAGGGAGGCTGGTCCCAGGGGGGTCGTCCGGTGGGGTTGTCCGGATCCCCGCTGAGTTGTCCAAGGGGTTGTCCAAGTATATCGTTTTGTCGTCAAGCATCGGCACGGGTTGTCTGAGTTGTCCCGGGGGGGCCCGGGGATATTTCCGAATTGTTTTTTGTTTCTCGTTGGACATCGTAGACTCTAGGCCTCCGACCGGCTCGGAAAGGTTCTCTCCTTTCGCCGCCACATGGTCCAATGCCGCATAACAGGAGGATTTGTGTGAGCGATGGTTACACTATGTGGTGCAGTGGTTGGCCGAACACACTGCGCTTCGGATTCCGGCACCCACTGCCCCGGTTATATTGTAGCACAACAGTGCAGAATGTGGACCGGCATATGTGCTCAGTACACACCGTTCTGTTCCGCGTGTTTGCACCCACAACGGGAGTGAAATGTTAGTTCATTGTCGTGCACACACACATCGACAACACCCAATGTGTCTTGGGAACACCTAGGGGCCATAACGTCCCGAATGTATGCGCCCCCCACGCGTGTGAATGGAGAGTTTCCTTCATGTCCCTGCACCATGTGACAAAATATAGTGTGTCTCGGAGCGTCGGCCCCCCCCCCCACGACGACGCCGCCGACGACGACGACGACGATGATGATTTTGACGACCAAACCTTGCGCACTGCACGGACGTCTCAGGGAAAATAGGACCCAAACAAGTCAAACCAGCCAATTTGCGAGGACGTCTCAGAGACAACTTAATCCGAACCGAGCCAAATCAGGCAAATTGCGAGGACGTCTCAAGCGAAACCGGGCCCAAGCCAGGCAATTTGCGAGGACGTCTCAGGCAAAACCAGGCCCAAACCAGGCACAACCAAGCAAATTGTGAGGACGTCTCAAGCAAAACCAGGCCCAAACCAAGCAAATTGTGAGGACGTCTCAAGCAAAACTGGGCCCAAACCAGGCCAAGCCAGACAAATTGTGAGGACGTCTCAAGCAAAGCCGAGCCCGAACCTAGCCAAACCAAGCAAATTCAGATGACATTTTAAGCAAAACCGGGCAAACCGGGCCAAACCAAGCAAATACTGAGGAAGTCTCAAGCGAAACCGAGCCGAATTCGGGCCAAACCAGGGGCCAAACCAAGCAAATTCGGAGGATGTCTCAGGCGGCTTGCGGCGCCCAACCGAGCCAAACCAGGCCAAACCAGGGCCCAAACCAGGCAGATTTGGAGGACGTCCCAAGCAGAATCGCCCAAACCGGTCTCCACCCACTCTTCTTAATACAATTTTCATTCAAGGAGTGGCTCCACCGAGTGCCTTCCCCCAGCGCGAGCCCGTGTAGAATTTTATGGGAGGGGGTATTTGGACCACATGTCCGGCGAGAAGGACGGGGTCGGGTGCGGAAGGTTTCGTTTGTCTTTCGGCTGTTCTTGGGGTGTCGTTGTGCCGTAAGGAGAGTTGTCACCGAGGCTGTGGATGGGGTCGGAGCAGCAGGGCTCGGGGGATGGCGCCGCATGGCCGATGCATCGACGATGCGGCTCTCGGAGGCCTCTTTAGACGCCACATGGATCCTAGGACACCTGAGTTCGGATGCAACTCATGGGAGGTCAAATTCTGATTTTGCACTGGTCCGAAGTCCGGCTAAATCTGGCTCAATCTCGCTGAATCCCGCCTAATCCCGCCTAATCCCGCCCGATCCAGCTCAATCCCGCTGCATGCGAGGCCCCTATCCGGCGTAACAGCGCCCCATGGGGGCTGAATCCTCCCTAGCCCCTGGCCCTTCCGACGAAGACCTCCCAGTACCCATCGGTTGTTGAAAGTAGGTATTTCTGGATTTCCAGATTTCAATCTACTTTCAGCGCCTTCCTACTTCAATGATCGAATGTCTCTACCTTTTCCATCCTCTTTAGTGGGCGGGCGGACGCCCAATCTACTTTCAACGCCTTCCTACTTCATGTTTCTACCTACTTCTTCTGACCGATGGGTAGTTGCCTCCTCATTGAGCCTAGGACACCCGAGACTCCAGATCAGCAAGGGCCCCCACGAGGGCGCGAAGTTCTTCGCGCTTCGCGCTCCGCGGTCCTCGCTCCTTCTCCCCCTCCTCCTCGTCCTCCTTCTCTCCCTTTGGGGGGGGGGGGGGCGGCGCGAGAGCGCGAAGTGATTCGCGCCTCGCGCTTCGCGGAGCGCGAGAGCGCGAGGCTGGGAGCCCGGGGATCAGCGAAGATGCCCAGAGATCTCCGCGGGCCTCGACGAGGACAGCCCGGGCGTCCCGTCGTGGGCCTCGAGGCTCTCGGAGCCTCGGCGCCTCCCGCGGAGCTTTCTCCTGGCTCCGCGGGTCTGCCATGCCCCCCCCCGCTCTTCCCATGGGAGGGGGGGGGTTACAGCTGGCATTACGTCGGGCTCGTCCCTCGAGGGGAGGAGTATTTAACAACCAGTCACGCAGCATAGAGCGGGACTCGTTTCACATAAGCACGAAGACAAGCAGCACACACAGAATTTTAGAGTACTGTCCAAGAACTGTGTATAACCATTTTTCATGTTTCGCACAGCATCCGCGTAGGAGGACACGCCCGACCCAAAGCTGCCACCAGGTGATGCGCAACCCTGGCTTCGGAGAGGTACCCCTATCTCCTACATGCTCGGGCGTACCTTTTTGCAAGGCTGTTCGTATCGGCCACCTCCACGGCGCCTTGGGCCATCGGCAAGGGGGCTCGTATCCTTGGCCACATGGCTTTGGTGACCAGGCAGGGCCCATGTCGGTCCGTGCGATCCGGTCCGGCGTCGACCTCGGCCTGCCCGCTCCGAGGCGACTCCGAGGCTCCGACGCTCCGATGCGGCCGGCACCTGCACGGCGCTGCGGCGCACCCTGGCGCGGCCGATCTGAGTCGATGCCGGTTCCGTGCCTCCTCCTCCTCCTCCTCCTCCTCCTCCTCTTCCTCCTCCGCCTCCTCGATTGGCCCGAGTCTGACGCACGCTCTGGCCCAATCCGATGTCGCGATGTTCGATGGTTGCCATTCCTTCCACGCTTCGATTGCATGCAGCAGCGCGGAGTAAGCTCTGGGGACCTCGCCGAACTCGGGCGAAGCTCCACCTCTTCTTCTTCAAGTGTCTGGGCACCGAATGGCCGCTTCCCAGCCCAGGACCGTCAGACAACTATTCAGGATGAAGACGCGGACCCGGGAGAAGAGGTCCTTGACATCCGATGTCGTGCTTTTCGCTGCGGAGTCCCAGGAAGTTCAGGGTCGGTTTTCACTCGTGAGTCGTCGTCGGACGGTCCAGGGGCTCAGCGAGACCACCTGGAGGCAGCAAACAGCGGAGCAATGACGTGCTGTTTTTTCAATGTGTTGGAGGCCTCGGGTCGAGATCGTCGGGGGCCCGACTGTTGCGTCTTGACGATCCTGAGTCGTACCAGAACGCCGTTCTTGGGACTTCAACCCCGCGGAAGCAACACAACTGTTGCGCCCTGACAATGCTAAACAACTCAAAAGCACCATCTCCGGTACGTTACCCATGCGAGCCAGTGAAACTCTTGCAATGGTTCGAACAAGAATGTGCGCATCGCCAAGACGAGAGCCACAGTTTGAAAACGACCCGCGCTCAACCCGGGAGACTCTTGCAATGTTTTAAACGACTGCGCGCGGCGCTAAGGCGAGAGCCGCGTTTTTGAAGCGACCCGCTCACCATCTGTGAAACTGTGGCCAGTTTTTTGCCTCAGCTTGAGGCGCATACACGGTAAGGAAGTCCTTGGCGAACGCCTGGCTTGCCCTCCGACTGGCTTCGGGGTGCCACAGGGAGGAGATGCTCACAAGGAACAGGCATGGAGGAGGAGGAGGAGGAGGAGGAGGAGGAGGAGGAGGAGGAGGAGGAGGAGGGCGGGGTCGGGGGGGGTGCGGGGCTCGGGAGACGCATGGGTCTCTGGGTTTGTAGAGCTCAGTGGGGCTCATGGGTCTTGCAGGGCTCTCCGGGCTCGTCGGGCGCACGGGGCCCGTAGGGCTCATAGGGCTTCTGGGGCTCCGGGGGCTCATAGGACGGATCGGGCTCATAGGACCCATAAGGCTAATTGGGCTCATGGGGCTCGAGGGGCTCGAACGGCGCATAGGGCGTATAGGGCTC